TTATTGGAAATTTATTAAAATCCCTCGATTTGTATTCTCTAAAATAAAGTCAAGATATACTCTACAATACAACATTACTATTTGTGCATCTGTTGCTTACATGTCTGATGATGAATCTGTATTAATAGAACTACATTTTCTGGGAAAGCCCCTTGTGGCTCCCTGAAGCTACCATCTTCAATGTAGGTCCAATGTATGTTAGCACCATCAGTCACAGAGTTCTGAGGTCTACCAGGAACCCAGAGCCAGAACCTGGTCTCCTCACAGAGGCACAGGAAGCCATGGCATTTATATATTAAGTTCTTCATTTATGGCACCACCGAGGAAGGCACCCAGAGTCAAAACAAACCAGCCTCTGACCTGCAGACTCAAAAACAGCCATACAACTCCCAAAACTACAGTAGGTAAAAACTATAAAAATGTTGTCAGACTAGCACGCGCTCATTCACCAAACTCTCCCCCAACCTTGTATACCATGCAAGGTGAAGGAGAAGATCATGAGAAGAAACCTAGTAGCACATCTGGAAAGAAGGGACTTGGTGACACATCACAAACATGGGTTCCAGGATGGTAAATCTTGCCTCACTGGTTAAATAGAGTACTACGGTCAAGTGACAAGGATTAAGCAAGAACGAGAAGGGTTGGCAGACTACATTTTCTTGGAATGTTAGAAAGCCTTTGACACAGTACCCAATATGACATTGGTGCATAAATTGAAGAAAAAGGCAAGAGTAACTGGTAGAGTGCTCCAGAAGTTAAGGGAGTACCTAAGCAATAAAACACACACCTGGTTGATACCTGGTTGATGGGGTTCTGGGAGTTCTTCTACTCCCCAAGCCCGGCCCGAGGTCAGGCTTGACTTATGAGAGTTTGGTCTCCTAGGCTGTTGCTTGGAGCGGCCCACAAGCCCCCATACCCACCACAGCCCGGTTTCCTCCCGGTTTCCTTGGAGGAAACAATCTAGTTTCCTCTTGAAGATGTCCACGGTTGTTCCGGCAATATTTCTTATGCTTGCTGCGAGGGCGTTGAACAACCATGGACCTCTGATGTTTATACAGTGTTCTCTGATTGTGCCTATGGCACCCCTGCTCTTCACTGGTTCTATTCTGCATTTTCTTCCATATCGTTCACTCCAGTACGTTGTTATTTTACTGTGTAGATTTGGTACTGGGCCCTCCAGTATCTTCCATGTGTATATTATTTGATATCTCTCTCGTCTTCTTTCAAGTGAGTACATTTGGAGGGCTTTGAGACGATCCCAATAATTTAGGTGCTTTATCGGGTCTACGCGTGCCGTATATGTTCTCTGTATTCCCTCCATTTCAGCAATCTCTCCTGCTCTGAAGGGGGAAGTGAGTACTGAGCAGTACTCAAGACAGGACAACACAAGTGACTTGAAGAGTACAACCACTGTGATGGGATCCCTGGATTTGAAAGTTCTCGTAATCCATCTGATCATTTTTCTGGTTGACGCAATATTTGCTTGGTTATGCTCCCTAAACGTTAGGTCGTCAGACATCATTATTCCCAAATCCTTTACATGCTGTTTTCCATCTGATCATTTTTCTGGTTGACGCAATATTTGCTTGGTTATGCTCCCTAAACGTTAGGTCGTCAGACATCATTATTCCCAAATCCTTTACATGCTGTTTTCCTACTATGGGCACATTTGATTGTGTTTTGTACCCTGTATAATGTTTAAGGTCCTCATTTTTACCGTACCTGAGTATCTGGAATTTATCACTGTTAAACATCATGTTATTTTCTGATGCCCAGTCGAAAACTTTATTAATATCAGCTTGAAGTTTTTCAATGTCTTCAGCCAAGGTAATATTCATACTGATTTTTGTGTCATCTGCAAAGGATGATACGAAGCTGTGACTTGTATTTTTGTCTATATCTGATATGAGAATAAGGAAAAGCAGCGGTGCATGAACTGTACCCTGAGGTACAGAGCTTTTAACTGCACTTGGACTAGATTTTATATGGTTGACCGTTACTCGCTGAGTCCTGTTTGACAGAAAACTGAGTATCCAGCATCCTACTTTACCGGTTATTCCCATTGACTTCATTTTGTGTGCTATCACTCCATGGTCACATTTATCGAAAGCCTTTGCAAAGTCCGTGTATATCTCATCAGCATTCTGTTTTTCTTCTAATGCCTCAGTGACTTTGTCGTAGTGATCAAGTTGCTGTGAGAGGCATGATCTTCCTGCTCGAAATCCATGTTGGCCTGGGTTGTGAAGGTCATTGGTCTCCACGAAATTGGTGACCTGACTCCTAATCACTCTCTCAAATACTTTTATTATGTGCGACATTAGTGCAACTGGTCTATAATTCTTTGCCAATGCTTTGCTCCCTCCCTTGTGTAGAAGGGCTATGTCTGCTACTTTAAGTGCATCTGGTATCTCCCCCATATCCAAGCTCTTCCTCTACACTATACTGAGTGCCTGTGCTACCAGCACTTTGAATTTCTTTATAAATATTGAACTCCATGAATCTGGCCCCGGGGCCGAGTGCATGGGCATGTTTTCAATTTCTCTTTCAGTCTAGTACACTCGTGTTGATATCAGTTATATTTACAGGGGTTTGGATATCCCGCATAAAGAAATTGTCTGGATCTTCCACCTTCATGTTGTTTATTGGAGTGTTAAACATGTCCTCATACTGCTTTTTTAGGATTTCACCAATTTCATTGTCATCCTCCGTGTATGAACCTTCACGAATAGGTTGTATGCATTGTATGTTCGAATAGGTTCAATACTGGCAGTGGGTTTTGCTTTTGATTTCGCATATGTGAAGAAGTATTTTGGATTTTTCTTTATTTCCTGAATTGCTTTCTGTTCTAACTGCCTTTCTTCAGTATGATATGAGTGTTTCAATTTCCGCTCGATTTCTTCACTCTCCCTATTTAAATTTTTCCTTCTTTGACGGGAAATTCGTGTCTGCCTAAGCATTTCCATTATTTTTTTCCTTCTTTTATAGTGTCATCTGCATTCTCTTTCTACATTGGATCTCTTTCTGGCTTTCCTCAAAGAAACATGTTTCAGACAGACTTGATACGCTTCCGAAGTCAGTTTTTCTATTCCTTCTGTAGGATTTGTATTACTTAGAACAGTTTCCCATAGAATGTTTGTAAGTTCCCTGTTTATTACCTCCCAGTCTATCCTTTTATTATTAAAATTGAATTTACTGAATAGCCCCTCTCGCTTTATCAATGTTTTAGGTCTATTCTGAGTATTGATGGTCGTTTGCACTTCAATGAGCTTGTGATCTGAGTATGTGGTACTCAGAATGTGGTATGTGGTACTGAGGTCTGACCCCTCACAGAATTACTGTGAGGGGTCAGACCTCAGAAAGGCTTGAAGTCACCAGTGGAATCCCACAGTGTTTTTTACTCGGACCTATCCTGTTTTTAATATACATAAATGATCTTCTAGACTCATTCCGCTCGATGTTTGCTGATGATGCCAAAAAATATGACAATAATTAACACAGAGGACAGCATGAGGCTTCAAGAAGACCTAGACAAACTGAAGCAATGGTCAAACAAATGGTTGTTAGAGTTTGACCTGAGCAAATGTAATGAAGATAGGGATAAGGAGCAGGAGGTAAAGCACCATTTGGTGCCATACAAGGCATCATTTGGGCGATGAAATTTTTCAAGAATTGAAGAGAGGAATCAGAGAGAGAAACCCCAGGGTTGATATCATGCCAGACCTGTCTCCCAAAGCCCACGTCAAGAGGATATCATCAGCTGCACATGCCAGGTTGGCCAACATAAGAACGACCTTTAGAAACTTGTGTAAGGGATCATTCAGAACCTTGTATACCACATACTTCAAACCAATCCAGGAGTATGTAGCTCCGGCTTAGAGTCCATAGCTCGTCAAGCATAAGACTAAATTGGAGAAGGTTCAGAGGTTTGCCACCAGACTAGTACTCAAGCTGAGGGGTATGAGTTAGGAGGAGACACTACAGAAACTAAACCTCACATCGCTGGAAGACAGAAGAGTTAGGGGAGACATGATCACTACATACAAGATTCTCAGTGGAATTGATAGGGTAGATAAGGACACTTTATTTAACACAAGGGGGGCACACACACATTAGGGGACACAGGTGGGAACTGAATACCAAAATGATTCATAGAAACATTAAAATTATTTTTTTTAGTGTCAGAGTAGTTAACAAATGGAATGTATTAGAAAGTGATATGGTGGAGGCAGACTCTATACACAGTTTCAAATGTATCACACTGTTTCGATCCCCGCAAACACAACTAGATGAGTACTATGACAAACTCACTGATATATGAGAAAAAAAACTGAATGCAGATGTGATATACAGGGATTTTGCAAATGCATTTGATAAGTGTAACCATTGAATGATAGCCCACAAGCCAAATTCAATAGAAATAACAAATTAGGGCAATGGATATTCAATTTTCTGTTATACAGAACACAAACATTAACAGTCAATAAAATCAAATAAAGTCCAAGCACTGTGAAAAGCTCTGTACCGTTGCACAATAATGTTGTCACTTCCTCTATTTTTCAGATTTGTCAATTTGGAGTCTTAGTTATCAGCCATGTTATTGTCACTCTCTGTCTACAAAGGCTAAAAAATATGATAAACATTAATTTACAGGAACTCTGGTCCTTTCTTTCTCTAATTTCAAATCAGGGCACCAATCCCATATATTTATCTCCAAGGAACAATATAATAAGATTAGGATCTCTAATGCACAATCAAACCACAACAGCATTATCTATCCATGATCTATCATTAGGAGCAATGTGATGGAAACAAACACCCATCCCACATCATCCCCACATACCAGTATCACTATTAGACCATGATGGCACCCAAATTCAATTCTAATGCATTAAACAACGCATTTCCTCACAGGATTCCTAATGTTTGCAAATGAAGCTGTACTTGACAATACATGAAAAATATATAAATTATTTAAAACCATATAGAATGAGCATTCTTACCTGCAGTGTGAGACAACACACTCATTGGAGCAGTATTCATCCTCCCATTCAGGGTTGTGCACAGCAGGGTTGGTGCATCCAGACCTGATGCAATTTGGTCCAGAGCTTGGACAGCCTATATGTCCTGGCTGACCCATACCCTGCTGCTGGCCACCTGACCCCTGCCCACTTTGTTGTTGTTGCTGCTGTTGCTGCTGCTGTTGTTGAGGAGGCTGTTGCTGTGGAGGCTGCTGCTGTTGGCCATGCTGTCCACCCTGCTGATGTTGCTGCTGTCCTGCTTGCTGCTGTTGTTGCTGGGTGGCAGCCTGTTGCTGCTGCTGTGGACTTTGTTGCTGGGACTGGTGCTGTTGTCCACTACCCGGGGAGCCACCACCCCCAGGACTCGTCATTGACCCTGGTGCCTGCTAAATTATGCAAGAAAATTACAAATTAAACAATGTAACTTAATCTGCAACATTATTTTTCAGGTTAGTCATTACTGTTATTTTCCCTCATCATGCATAATATAAATACTGTTGCATGTAGCAAGTTAGGATAGAGTGCTGAAGCAGCATGACAGCAGGCTCAGTGGGCTGGGATGAGCTATACCTGGTTCATGTAGGGAGAGGTAGAAGGTACGTTGGTCAAGGGCGTCAGGTGTGGCTGTGGTGTGGGTGGCTGATGGCCAGCCTGTGGGCCCTGCTGTGCCTGTGCAGCCATACTGGCTGCTGACATAGGTGGCATGGAACCATGAGGCATCATGGGAGGGCCAGAAGGTGGCATGGGCTGTGACATTGGTGGGTTCATCATGGGTGGGGATGGATCAGCCATAAGAGAAGAGAGTAGAGGAGACTTCTTAGCCAATGGTGACATCTGTGTGGGCGACTGTACTTGGGGGTGTCCTGGGGCACTACTGGTAGGGGGGTATCCAAACCCTGGGGCAAACTGACCATACCCAGGTGCCCCGTAAACTCCCTCACCTTCACCGCCCTGTAACACAAGCCAGGGGTCACGCCTCACGCACGCAAGTAGCAGTGACAAGCAATTTGCAAGAAACACTGGTACAAAGCAATGGTTATATTGGTTAATATGCCATAAGCAGGCTGCCATGCAGTTACATTCTGTCAGTCAAATTACAGCTTAGTTGAGCCAGCAAATTCAACAATTAAAGACTTAAGCAACAGTTACCTTCCAGCAAATCTTCTCACAGCCAAACACTTTTAAGACAAATGTAACTAACCATTTTGCCTCTATGATATAAAATATAGTACAAGTACAACTAGTTTAATTATGATGCAGGAATTACAGTACTGTACAATATATGCTATAATCTCCTACTGAACACACATGCTAAAGTTAAAACTAAGTGTTCAAAGAAATATATTTTCCTCTGTGCTGTGAGAATAACAACAGGTGCAGAGCATCAACCTAATTTTATTCAGCATTTTTGCAGATGATGATGTGTCCCATAATATCAAGCTCCAATGTGTTCCCATTCCCTACTATCCCTGGGAATGGGAATTAAGGGTCCAGCTCTGCAATTGGTATTTTCTTCATAACTAGTGTGTTTGTGCATTATTTTAACTACATTAAATGTATAATATTCAACAGAATCATCCACCATTGTAGCTTGACAATGAAGCATTATGCTAATTTTGCAACATTCAATGTTTATAATTTAGCTAAATAAAAATCAAATGGTGTACCCTTCATTTAAGGGTAATAAGGTTAACCATTTATAAAGCGTTAACCAATCAAGAACTCTAAAATTGTTTGGCTGTGCCAGGAATTACTGCAGCTGGGTTAGTCAGGTCTGTAAACCAGGTATTAAAACTACAATACAGTCTTAAATGAACCCAAATCACCGAGAGAACTACTCTCTTGCTCACCTTGGATACCAAACTGGCACGGTAGGCAGCAAGAGCCTTAAGATATTCCTTTTTTGCTGCCTCGGTTTTTTTCTTGTAAACATTCTTGTGGTCAGCATCCAGAGAATCCCACATTGAGGCAACAATTTTGGACACTTCTCCAAAGGATGCATTGGGGTTGGACCCCTTGATGGCAGCCTGGGTGTCTCGGAAGAATAAAGCGTATGCTGACACTGGTCTGTGGAGAAAATATATGTTAAATGATGACTAGAACAAATGTGTAAATAATACTATAACAGTATTTTAAACTTATCACACTTACATGGTTTTGTATTCTATTTTGTGTCGATATACAGTATTCCAAACGATTCAAATGCGGATTTGCCGATATGAATGCTTAGTACACCAACTTCACAAGACATTCTTTTGGTGTGTAAAACTCCCACATCCCATCCTCTTGCTTAGTGATTAATATCAATTATTTGATGTTATTCACTTGTTGGATTATATTTTTTGTATTGTGGCACCTTTCAAGCAGTCTGCACTTTGCTGCTGGTGAGTGGCTGGAGCATTTAGTAATGATAGTAAGACATGCATTTTTATTGAAAGACATTTTACAGAGTATCAAAATCATTAAAGATTTCACACATCAGATTGGGGAGTAGAAGAAGAACTCTTGAAACCCTCTCCAGGTATCTGCAGATCATCTTCTGGTACCAAGATGTGTATCCAAACATTTGGGTACAATTATGCTAATTGATTTTAAGACATTGTTGAAGGTGTTAACCCCTCCTTGAGAAATCATCTCAAGATAACCTCTTTCCTCCCCTCAACCACAAAATAATCAAATGGCTCTAGAATTTGCCAAGGGAAGTAAGTCCTGCAATTACCTCAAGGTCATCCCTAGGTCACGCTGACAATGAAGGCAATGCACTCAACACAGTAATAACACACTTGTAGATGGAGACAAGTAACTGAAATTAATTCAGCACCTGAGGCTATATGCTTCCATAACAATAGATATCTTACTTGCACCATCACCACACAAATTACTCGCACACAAAGATGCTATCCAGGTGGACACAAGATTAAAAAACTAAATTTCATTTTACTTGGAATACTGTACCTGATCAGGGACACAATTATGAAGAATATAATGGTAAACCTACTACCAATTACTCCTATGTAGCAAAAATATCACAAAAACAGCCACCTGCTATTCTTACTTCATGTAAACAAAATTTAATTATTGCAAGCTGCCAAAAATGTATTGTCACATCAATATGCACAGTGACGCTGGTCACTGCACAATGATGTACTGTACGAGTTCAAACTTTCAGGAAGCAAATGGTTTTCAACAAGGAACAATTGTGAACTGCAATATCCCAACTAATACTTTCACCTGCAGACATTTATCTTCAGCTCAGCATCTCTAAAAAGCAGATGACAAAAGATCTATTTACCCCATGAGATCTTTGCAGGCAACAATGCCTTAGAAAAGTTACTCGTGCAGTCATAATATTACAAAAGATTGATTCCGTGAAACAGGTGTCATTATTTCCACATTGCTCCAATCAATCGATCATTCTGATTAAAATTCCGCTGTGTCTAGCCACACACAGAGGAACAATGTGGGGGAACAAAAAGATTAGTGACTCTTCTCCCGATCATTCAACTGTATTCAAATGACTAATAAATGTACACGAATAACAAGAAACCTGTTTACCTGTTACATCTGTGCTTCTTATCGTGGTAAACATCCATATATTTGTGCTTCTTTTCATGGTAAACATGCACATCTGTGCTTCTTTTCATGGTAAACATGCACATCTGTGCTTCTTTTCATGGTAAACATGCACATCTGTGCTTCTTTTCATGGTAAACATGCACATCTGTGCTTCTTTTCATTGTAAACATGCACATCTGTGCTTCTACCCATGGTAAACATGCACATCTGTGTTTCTTCCCATGGTAAACATGCACATCTGTGTTTCTTCTCATGGTAAACATGCACATCTGTGTTTCTTCCCATGGTAAACATGCACATCTGTGTTTCTTCCCATGGTAAACATGCACATCTGTGTTTCTTCTCATGGTAAACATGCACATCTGTGCTTCTACCCATGATAAACATGCACATCTGTGTTTCTTCCCATGGTAAACATGCACATCTGTGCTTCTTTTCATGGTAAACATGCACATCTGTGCTTCTACCCATGGTAAACATGCACATCTGTGTTTCTTCTCATGGTAAACATGCACATCTGTGTTTCTTCCCATGGTAAACATGCACATCTGTGCTTCTTCTCATGGTAAACATGCACATTTGTGCTTCTTCTCATGGTAAACATGCACATCTGTGCTTCTACCCATGGTAAACATGCATATCTGTGTTTCTTCCAATGCTAAACATGCACATCTTCGCTGGTTCCCATGCTAAACATGCACATGCAGACCAAACCACACACTCGCAGATGAGACGACGACGTTTCGGTCCCTCTTGGACCATTGTAAGATTCGATTGTGATGGGACTGAGGGTGGTGGTGTAGATTTAACTACTGGGAACACAAAGATCCAAGTAGCACGAGCTAAAGTGAGCCCTGTAGAGGATTTACTTGGCACAGGAGCCGGGCTGTAACTTCGGGAGTGAGGGAGGCACGGGCATTAAGTAAAGCAAGAGAGAGAAGTTATCTTCGGGGGGGGGGGGGTGTAATAGCAAGCTATCACAAGTCAAGTCCAGGCTCCGGACCGGATTTATATTGAACAACTCCCACAACCCACTCCAGGAATATGATCCAGAAAACAGCTTTGTCGAATCGTCTTGTATAAGGGTATAAGCCAAATCGTACACGCCACCATCTTCGGAACCCTGGCGTTGCTTGTATATGCTAAGGTTCTTCCGTTAAGCAGCGTGGCCTTATGTATCCGGACACATTTACAATTTTATGGCTTAAAATTCAATTAAAGTAACCCCCGCTCGGGGAAGTGGGGACTAATCTAATTCGGGCCAGTGTCGCAAAGGACTTACAGTGGAAGAAAAATGACGTCTTTTTCGTCTCATTTCGCGCCTTCCCAAACCTGTGCGATACCGGACCTTATTTTTAATATATATCGTCTTTTACCCGACTAGAGGTGCCCGACGTTGAGTGAAACTTAAAGCTACTGAACGATCGCTTTAGCGCGGAAAATACTATCTTAACCCGAGGAAACACAATACAAGAAAAATTACGATTTTGTGTAGCAGAATATTAGAATACATCAACAGTAAAAATGGGTTTAAAATGGGGAGGGCGGGAAGAGATCAGGAGATGGATTCATCAACCCCGCCAGCGATTACTTCATACACCTGTTTAATCCATGTAAAGGTGTTTAATATTGCCAACGGAACCATGAACATATAACACCTCATATACTGTTATAGAGCTACCATCATGCACAGCACTCGCCCCACCCCGCATGAAGGTAGTGGAGACAACTCGCTCCACCCCAGCATGGGTGTAGTGGAGACAACTCGCTCCACCCCAGCATGGGGGTAGTGGAGACAACTCGCTCCACCCCAGCATGGAGGTAGTGGAGACAACTCGCTCCACTCCGGCACGGAGGTAGTGGAGACAACTCGCTCCACTCCGGCACGGAGGTAGTAGAGACAACTCGCTCCACTCCGGCACGGAGGTAGTGGAGACAACTCGCTCCACTCCGGCACGGAGGTAGTGGAGACAACTCGCTCCACTCCGGCACGGAGGTAGTGGAGACAACTCGCTCCACTCCGGCACGGAGGTAGTGGAGACAACTCGCTCCACTCCGGCACGGAGGTAGTGGAGACAACTCGCTCCACTCCGGCACGGAGGTAGTGGAGACAACTCGCTCCACTCCGGCACGGAGGTAGTGGAGACAACTCGCTCCACTCCGGCACGGAGGTAGTAGAGACAACTCGCTCCACTCCGGCACGGAGGTAGTAGAGACAACTCGCTCCACTCCGGCACGGAGGTAGTGAAGACAACTCGCTCCACTCCGGCACGGAGGTAGTAGAGACAACTCGCTCCACCCCAGCATGGGGGTAGTGGAGACAACTCGCTCCACCCCGGCACGGAGGTAGTGGAGACAACTCGCTCCACTCCGGCACGGAGGTAGTGGAGACAACTCGCTCCACCCCAGCATGGGGGTAGTGGAGACAACTCGCTCCACCCCAGCATGGGGGTAGTGGAGACAACTCGCTCCACCCCGGCACGGAGGTAGTGGAGACAAATCGCTCCACCCCAGCATGGGGGTAGAGGAGACAACTCGCTCCACCCAGCTAGTGGAGACAAATAGCTACATTTTCAAATTGCATATAAAAAGTTTTCAAGGGATGGAATTATTATTTATACACATTTTCAGAACTATGGTCAACATGTGCATACAGATTTTGGGTTACTAACAATATTTTACTTAGAAAAGCACTAAAATACAAAATAATACGATTACATAAAATTATGAAATTAACTCTTGCACTTAAAAGCAAAATTTGTTTGTGTGTGGGGGGGGGGGGGTGGAAAACGACCGACATATTATATGTTAGCCTTAAGGCCTATCAACTTCAGGAGGGTCGTTACCACCAGTATAAGAGCCTACAACACTGTAGTCACCACTACACAACACTAGTCCTGAATGTAGTCCACTAATAAAGTAACCTGAGTGTTTATACGCCGAAAAATGGGGTACACGTCTCTGAATATATCCCCCATGATTCAGATTATATATTTGAACATATATCCCCATATATATGTATATTATATTATATATATATATATATATATATATATATATATATATATATATATATATATATATATATATATATATATATATATATATATATATATATATATATATATATATATATATATGTCGTACCTAGTAGCCAGAACGCACTTCTCAGCCTACTATGCAAGGCCCGATTTGCCTAGTAAGCCAAGTTTTCCTGAATTAATATATTTTCTCTAATTTTTTCCTTATGAAATGATAAAGCTACTCATTTCATTATGTACGAGGTCAAGTTTTTTTTTATTGCAGTTAAAATTAACGTAGATATATGACCGAACCTAACCAACCCTACCTAACCTAACCTATCTTTATAGGTTAGGTTAGGTAGCGGAAAAAGTTAGGTTAGGTTAGGTAGGTTAGGAAGTCGAAAAAACATTAATTCATGAAAACTTGGCTTATTAGGCAAATCGGGCCTTGCATAGTAGGCTGAGAAG